GCATAATCAAAAAAAAAAATTTGAATTAGTAAATTAACGGATTCGGAATAGAACAAATAAGTATATCATGCTTGCGTAATGTGGGACCTTTTCAATAGAAAGGGGGAAAACTGTCGAAAAGATTTAGCATTAATCATTTTTTTCCTTTCTATTGACAAAGGTCCCATGTAATTATCCATAAATTTCCGATCTATCCAGATTATCATTTGCTGACTAATCAAGTTTGAGGCGCAAATTTAGATATTAGGCTTTTGAAAATACTCTTTGCTTATTTTAATACAAATGACAGATACAATAGCAACAAACTTGTCGGGAATTAAACACATAATTCTTGTACTTTCAGGCAAAGGAGGGGTAGGAAAAAGTTCTATAGCAATGCAGCTTGCATTATGTTTGGTACAGGGAGGAAATAAAGTAGGTATTCTGGATATTGATCTAACCGGACCTAGTATACCTCGTATGCTAGGCCTTGATGGTAAACAAGTTCACCAAGCTTCCTCAGGGTAAGTATTCTAATTATTCATTAGATCGTCCAAATTGATATATTTATGTTGTCTTTTAATAAAAAAAAAAAATTTATCAGATGGGTACCAGTTTTCGCAGATGAAAATCAAAATCTTTGTTGTATGTCAATCGGATTCTTATTACAAAATAAAGACGATTCTGTTGTATGGAGGGGACCTAAAAAAAATGCAATGATTAAGCAGTTTTTGACGGATGTTTGTTGGGGAGAGTTGAATTATCTCATAATTGATACACCACCTGGTACGTCTGATGAGCATATATCTATTGCTGAATATTTAAAAGATGTTAATCCGGACGGTGCAGTCATTGTAACAACTCCACAGGTAATTAATTGTTTCATCTTTAAGAGATTCCTTTTTTTCCTATCAATTAAAGTAATGAAAATATAAAATAATTCTAGGCAGTTGCCTTGGCTGATGTTCGTAAAGAATTAAATTTTTGTAGCAAAGTAAAATTACCGATATTAGGAGTTATAGAAAATATGAGTGGATTTGTATGCCCTCACTGTGAGGTTTGTATTTCCGTTCAACCCTTCGATCACTTCGTCAAGACTAATTTTCTTTCTGTTTAATCGATTATTAATTTTGGATTTGATATTATTTCTATAATCTACGTAGGAATGTACAAATTTATTTTCATCAGGTGGAGGAGAAGCAATGGCACAAGAATTTGGTGTAGAATTTTTAGGTATCCTTTATAATTTCTCGCATGCAATAAGTTTTATTTCCCATTTTTAAGTTTATTATTTCTGCTTTAGGTCGCGTTCCAATTGACCCATCATTAACGCTTATGGTTGAAAGATTGGATGATACAACATTGGAAAATGGATTGATCAAAAATTACATTGAATCTAATCTATATAAGCCGTTTAATAAAATTTCGGATAAGGTCATAGCGAAGGTTACATAAATTACGAAAAATTATTTATTTAATATCTTAACTGTATATTATATACTGTATCATCACGTAATTGTCAGTAATACAAAACAAATTTCTAATTAATTTTAGATAAATGCTTTAATGCTAATTGTTAAATGATAATGTTATCTCTAAATTAATAATTATGTTACGTGATATTTCAAAAATGATCATAAAATTTGTGACATTTGATTATTATTATGAATGTGACATGTTTGACCGCACCTCGAAAGCCACAAAAAAAAAAAAAAATTATGACCATTACTCTATTTCCTTCCAAAATCTAGTATCCGAGTCGGAATGACTACAAGAAGTATCTTCTTTTAAAAAAATTGCCAATTAAAAATGTAAAAGGATCTTGGCAACCCTATTAAAATGATACTCGAATTACTAATATCTTTCACTTTTCTTTCTTTCTATATAAGCTAAATATGACATATTTATCGAACTTTCTCTATACTTCTCGTTGTGAAGTTACGAACGTATGTTAGAAAATTTGATATTTTATGCTTTTATTTTGTTCTAAATAATATAAATAAATTTAAATATTATGTGATGCAAGTTGGCAAATTAAATAATGGGCGCAATCGTAGTTTTTTTTTTTGAAATTTCAAAGGAGATGAACCTACATAAAAATTTTTTTTTACAAATATGTCAATGCGACAAGCGCCATCGTCTCGTATGATATACTGCGGTAAGTGTAAATGAGCATCGTAAATTTCTTTATTTTTTTTTCATATTTACGCACTTATTGAATCGTATTTTTTAAATTATCTTAAACAACGTGACATTGTAAAGTGGGTCCTGAATCAAAAATCAAAATCATGTGACTTCCGTATTTCGCTTGTACCTATAGTCATACCCCTCATGAAAAAAAATGAGGTGATTATAAAAATACTATATGATGTGATTAAAGAGAGGTTTTTTTAGTAAGTTTATTAGTAACTCGGTGTGCTTATAGAGGGGTGTGACTATATATGGTGTGACTATAGATAGGGTGACGTATAACATTTTGGCATAGAGAAATTACAGTTCTTAATAACTACTTAATTATATTATAATCAAATATTTAAATTGCTTATATTTAATTCTTATAATAATATATATCGATACTTTGACTAACTCCTATATCATTTAAATTATAATATTCATTATCTTTATAATCAAATATTTCTTTTTCTTCTAGGTTTAAAATTTCATTAAATGGTTTAATAAAGTTTAATAAACGACTTGTATAATATGCTTGTGGATGAGATTCATTAATAGCTTTACTATTAGTTATAATATTAGTTTTTTTATCTGCTTTCAAAAATTCGATAATATCTTCTTCATTTTCATTATTAAAATTCCATTTTTGAATAATTTTAATTATTTCTAATGCAGTCGGCCTTTTTATTGGATCTTTATCCCAACATTTTATCATTAAATCCACATAACATTTTGGAGTATTTTCAATTATCTTAGGACGAATACCTTTACAAATACTTAAGTAAAGTTTATGATCATGTAATAAATTATTAAATGGAGGTATTCCAGATGTAAATTCCCACATAATCATAGAAAAACTATATATATCGCTAGCTGTAGTATAAGGATTATTTCTTAAAACTTCAGGTGCTATAAATGGTAAAACGCCATATATAACATTCTTTTTAGAAGAATTAAAATATTCTAGAGGTCGGCATAATCCCAAATCACTAATATAAGTTGACAAATTATTATTTAAAATATTACCATCATGAAGGTCACGATGTACAAGATTTGATCGATGTATTTCATAAAGTCCACTTATGATGTTATACAATAATCCTAATTTATACTGCCATTTAAGTTTAATTATATTTGGCAGATTTTTTCTTAAATTTCCTCCATCTATATAATTCATTATTATGATATAATCCAAAGTATTTGGATTTCGAGTAAATCCATATAATTGAATTAGATATAATTGACTACATTTATAATGATATTTCCACTATAAATAAATAAAAAATTAGTTCAAATTATTTATATAAATATTAAATTAATAAATATTTATATATACCTCATTTAAAAATTCATTACTTAATGTTGATGAATCATTAAGATTTTTAAGAGCTATGATTCTATTTTTATTTCTGCTCCACTTATCTTTATTATAATTCCATTGGTTAATAGATCCATCTAGCCAAATCGCTTTGTATATAAGGCTAAATCCTCCTTTATCAAGATATTCAATATTTTCAAGTCTATTATAAGGAATCCATTCCAATACTCTGTAATTACTTTCAGCATTTAATTGAGTTTCTTGTATAAATTTATCAATAAATTCATTTCCACTAGTCCAATTACAAAAAGATTGTTGGAAATGTTTAGCATTACATTCTTTACACCATTTATTATATACGTTTGTATATAATTCATTACATTCCAGACATAAGTTTGCATAATCCATTATTATTATATAATTTAACTTAATTGCATTTTGAGTAAATCCATATAAATGAATACCAGATTGTTTATGATATTTCTAATATAAATAAATAAAATTAATTTAAAAATAAAAACTGTTTATAAATTCTAAAATATTAATATCATACCTCATTTAATAATTCATTACATAAATTTGATGATGGATTAATGCATTTAAGAGCCACCATTTTGTTATTATTTCTAATCCATTTTTTTTCATTATATGACCATTTATTAATGGATCCATCCAACCAAATAGCTTCCTTTACTGTACTAAATCCTTCTTTAACAAAATATTTAACATTTACAAGTCTATTGTAAGGAATCCATTCTAATATTTTATCACTGCTCTTAGCATCTAGTTGAGTTTTTTGAATAAATTTATCGACAAATTCATTTCCACTAGTCCAATTATGGAAATTTTGTTGAAATCGATTAACATTGCATTCTTCACACCAATTGTTATTATTTGTATATAATTTATGACATTCTGGGCATGTTAAATTATTACTTTGTGAATTAATATCTTCGGCACTGTTTTAACGCAAGTATAGTTAGTCTAAATAATTAAAAATTTCTACTATTTAAAGATAAGTAATTTATAAAATGATACTAACTTATTATCGTCACTCATATTTATTGAATAAATGTTTTTTTTTTTTGAACGAAATTATATTGAATGAACTAGAACAATTTGTTAAATTCAACCAATAAAATCGCAAATAAGTTAAATGTTACACTAATATATAACTATATATAAACGCGAGACGCGAGTCATCTAACACATTTTTGACTAAGAATCTAAAAAACACTTTCATCACCCCAGTATTGCTTCTTCCCTATATCAATAAAACGGGCGTAGCATATTCACTAATCTACGAACCTTCAAAACGCTGTATCACATAAACAACATGGATGACAAGTCAAAATATATCTTTGAATAAAGAAAAATAACAAAAAATGCTACTTAAGAACAAGCCATTAAGGCTTATGAAGAGTCACAACAAGATAAGCAAGAAAACAACGCACGGAGAGTAATTACATAAAAACACGACAAGTTTACTACTCTCGTGACTACTGGGTCTAGCATATGCTCGTTATGGTTTATGCTGTCTCCTGCTGACTTAGCATCAACAAGACTGGCTGTTAACATGTATTTGTTGAAATCTTTATGGAGAATCCGAATAAATGGATTTCATCACGTGGTTACAATTTTACGTAATTTATTTACTAAAGAATTTGTAGATAATGTTAACTCTGGCTTAAAAAGATTGCTAGCAAGATTATGGGGAGTTCGTATGAAGGAACACTGCATCATTGATACAGTAACGCTATTGCAAAGCAATTAAATCATTTATTCCCTATATACATTCACACCATGCAGAGGCCCGGGGAGTAAACCATCAGAAAACCAAATAAAAGCCATAAACGATATTTGTCATATTATCGGCGAATGGTACAATATCTTATTAGAACGCTACAATAGAGGTTTGCCAGATGATAGATAATTCGAGAATTTTAGTCAATTGCATAGTCAAGTACCTAAAAACGAAAAAAGTTAGGAAACGACTTGCCGATGTATTTAGAAATGAGGGGTCAGATAAATTTCTTACTGGTTCAGACGATACTGATGTGAATTGGGAGTATCATCACAAAATTCCGGGTAACGGTGGAAGCGGATCAGCTAGCCGCTGTTATCTTTAATTGCATCGATCAACAGTTTCCCTTTTTCATAGTTGACGGATTTGCAGCACATAAGGATGAAATAGTTTAGCGGCAGAAGTTGCATTCGGATACAATTGCAATCTTGCAGCTGCCTACTATTTAATCGGAAGGTGAAGTAAATTCAACTCGTCTGCATATCGGAATGATATATGGAACAACCGTCCATCTGGGTTTGATGAAGACGATCTATAATGAAGAAAAAAAATCTTTGATTGATGTCTTTGAAGAAAATAACATAACTTTCTGGTAATCAATGGCATACTTGAGGGCGAATTTTGCCAGGATGTGATAGCATTTAAAGTTTGGTTTAATAGGAAAACAAATAAACGCATTGGAACGCTTTGCCCCGTTTTCATAGGAGGGCTGTTAAGTCACGTCCAAAAAGTGATACAGGATTCACTTCTCTGGTGAAAATGGTTAGATAAACTAGCTAGGAAAGAAGAGTTAAGAATTGACGAAAATAATATATTAATATATATGTATGCTATTTATGTAATTTGCGAATTAATAAAAGAAGTATAAATGACATGATACTACTAAGAGATGCATACCACGAATGACCTCAAACGTAACACAATCAAATAAATAAAATATCTAGAGAACCGGATCGAATTACAAAAAAAAAGGCTAATTCAGAAAGCAAATAAAATGATATAGAAAGTTATATAGTATTTTAGCTGACAAGTAGACATTTATTTACTAACAATGGTGATAATCCAATGTAAGCGATTAATAAGTTTTTCATCTGATTAAGCTTACATTGCTATCCTAAGGTTTTTTTTTATCTTTGATTAAAATGTTATTTGAGAATATCTCTTATTTCCATAATGAATTCTTTTCTTACTATCATTTTTCTATAAATTAACTTTTACTCATTATAATAAACCTTTTTCCAAAAATAATTAAATTGAATCATACTAGTAATTAATGAAAAATTGGGGTGGTACATTTACGATCAACCTTGATGTACTGCGGAATGACATATATAAAAATAGGACCGCAAAATCATTACTTTAGCTCATGAAAAATGGTTTATTATTTTACATGTAAAGGTATATACCCGAGTTTAATTCTTTCCCTCGAGAGGTCTTAGATATCCTTGTACTGAATTTTTATTTTAAATTCTAAAGTGGTTGATCCTCCGGCGTTGATATATATGGGCAAGAATATGGAGGAAAGTAAGTGAAGCTTGATTCAAAATTTTTCTTTTTTATTCATATTTTCAGTTATTAATAATCTATTACCTTTTTTATGTCGACATTTTATCAGACGAAGATTTGATTAAACATGGGTGGGAAGAAGATGTATGGTATGACTATCATTTGGTATATAGTAGGCGCATTCGCAAATTCACTTGGATTGAATGAACCCATGACTGATGATAATAGAATTGTACATCCAATTCAATTCAAATGAACTTGCGAGTGCGTATATTTTGATATTAAAAAAAATTTAATTTTTGTAAGTCTAATACAAGAATATACCACGAGCACAATGGTGAATATGATCAGGTGATTTTGTTATTAAGAAATTTCGTACCCTCTTGTTTTTTCCTTGATGGGATGTGAAATTCATAGGGTATTTATACTTTGTCTATAAAGTTGAAAATTTTAATTCTCCAATTTTTCATATCTTTTAATTAACTTCAATTTACTTCTTCCAAATTGAAGTTCCATGTTCATCCACATTCAAGTGCCCACGTGTATCTTCGACTGCAATCCGGACAATCTTGGGAAAATATTCCACAAAAACTTTTAGAAGATTTAGGTCAATTGACTAAAGATAACAGTATCAAGGGTTCGTCTTAATTTGCGATCAATAGAAAATTAATTCAAATTCAAATTCAAAAAAAAAATTTCACTTTGTAATTTAAATTTTATATAGGGTGTAAGGAGAATAACGTTACAATATTATACACCCCATGGTCAAATCTGTTAAAGACTAATGATATGGCCACCGGTGAAGTTTCTTTTCGTGATCAAAATAAGGTAATTTCTTACATTTTAATTTGACAATGAAGTTACAGGAGTAAAAACCAAATTTAAATTATGTTCTAGGTAAAAAAAATGCAAGTTAAAACAAAAAATAATAAAATCATAAATCGTCTTGAGAAAACCAGAATAGAGAAATTTCCGGATCTTGAGAAAGAGAAATTAGGAGCGGAAAAAGAAAGACGAAGGATAGCAAGAGAAACGGCGATTGCAAAGGTAAGTTATTTTTTAAAATTTTATTCAGGCAATTGATTAATATTAATTTTTTGATTCTTCTGAATCTATCCTTAGGAACAAGAGGAGCTTCGTTTAGAACAGGATAGGAAAAATAAGGAAGCGCAAAAATCTTATGATTCACTCTTTGATGAATCGAATATGCGCAGTAATTACGATAGTAATATCGATCTGGAAGATGATTTCATGTAACGGAAATAATATGCTGTTGAAATAGAAAATCAATCAAAATGTGTACATATATTAAACAAATATCCAATAAAATTAAATTGGTAATTTCATTTTACGTAATAAGTTGAATGATCACGTGAATATTTGTGAATAATTTTCTAATTTGATCAGGTTTCGTAGATCGTGTTCGAATTTATAAAACTTTATAGCATAAATATACGCGTGCAAAGTTAAATTCAAAGTTGTAATGAACATTTCGCGTTTATTAGATCGAAAATACGTAAAAGGTTAAAAGTTACACTAAATATTCGCGTTTGTTTGCTTTATATTTTTGTCACAGCACAATAGTCATGACTGAAATGGTAGAAGAGTTGTTTAAGCCTCAAGAGGAGGAATGGTTGTGTAATTCGAACGCAGCAGTTTCTATTTGGTTTGGTACGTCAAATATTTTACTCTTGTAAAGATAATAATGATACTTTAGTCTAAACTGATACAATTTTTATTCTTTTTTTTTAGTTGAACCTTCAACTGACCCTGACCAGAAATTTGATTCTGTTCAAGTTTCCCCCACTTTTACATATTCAATCTTTGGACATAAAGAACAAATTTACGGATATAAGAATTTAGAAATTGTGGTATTTAGTCATATGATATTAGCCATTTGAAAGAAGTATAATCTAATAACATTGATTAATTATTCTTACCTAGCTCAAATTTGCTTCTGGAAGTCTTGCCACTTACTTCGATGTTCAGTTTACCGAAAAAATTCCGGATGTTTCTTCAAAATCTATAGCGGATAATGTTATAGATAAGATGAAGGAATTTATACCTAATGGTATGATAATTATTTTTAAATACAATTCAAGGATATCATTAATTTAACATATTTTTATACGTATTTTTGTTTCGATTTAAATTTAAAAAGATTACATCACAAATTATGATACTTTTCTAAAAACTGTTGACGACGATGCTTACCGCTTCAAACCAATGGGTGAAAAGATAACGGAATATCGTCTTGAACAGGATGAAGATGAAGATAAAGTTTATGAAATTTACAAGGTTAATGAGACGTAAAATGAATAAATATTCATGTATATATATTTATATAATCTATTGATCTTTATTTTATATGAATGTAGACGACGTTTGAAACACCTCGATTCAAGGAATATCACAGACGATTTCAGATAATGGTATTATTCTATATCGAAGCTGCAACATATATAGATGAAGATGAGAAATGGGAAACTATGCTTTTGTATGTTCAATTTTTCATCAACGTGTAATGTTTTGTGATTTCTCAATTTAAGGTAATTTATTCTTATAGATTTGAAAAGAAGCGTATAGGAGACAAACACATATATGGATTTGTGGGGTTTTGTACGATGTACAATTATTACTTTTATAATCGTGAAAAGAATATTAGTACAGAGAACAACATTAACGATAAAGTACCAAACTCTATATGCGTCAATGAAGGTAAAATTCTTCCTGAAGACATACGATTAAGGATTAGGTAAATGTATCTTCTATGGTTTTTCTTTCTTTATTTATTTTTTTAATTGAAATTAATCGATTTCGCGTTTTACAGTCAATTCTTGATTTTTCCCCATTTTCAAGGGAAGGGTCATGGAAGTAAGTGAATAATGAATGAGAGTTTTGGGTTTATTATGAAGCATCATAAGCATCATAATTAAAAAAAATCATTTCCTTTCTTTTAGGTAAACTCTATCAGACTATATACCAATATGTTTTATCAAACTCGAGAATAAAAGAACTTGCCGGTAATTTACACACACACACACACAGTACAAATATATATTTATTTATAAAAATATTTGCATAATTAATTAATTTATTTATTTTATGGTATAGTCGAAATCCCAAATGAATCTTTTGAAGCAATCCGAGATAAGAATGATTTGCGATATTTACGTGAACATAAAGTTTTTGAAGGACTAGTAGCTCCCGTCGATAAAAAGGCCATCGAATCGATACGGCGAAATTACAAGTTAAATAAAGTAAGGATTAGATTGCAAAATTCAGATATGTATTTTCCATTTTTTATGCTAATTGATATACTTTTTATGTAGCGACAATTGCTTCGATGTTTGGAAATTGAATTATTGAGAAAATTAAACAAGATGGATGCTGCCGCTTATAAAGCATATCGATTACAAGTGAAGGAAAGGTTATATAATTGGAATAAAGTACGTATCATGAAGAAGGTTCTTGATTTCAATTTTATTTCTTATATTTACTTTGTTTGTTTTCTTTAGGAAATATTAAAAGATGTTGATAGAGCTGAACGTATAGGAAAATTGGAGGAAACATTTAAAGGTCTTATAGAAGAATATCACGAGATTATATTGAAATATAATTGAATTCTAAACCCTGAGAGAAATATCGTAATTTACTTTTTTTTTTTATTTAGATAGTGGTAATTTTTGTGTTGGCTTTTTAAAAATATTGAATATAAATTTACGTTTGAAATAAATAATATATTCTAAATTGTTAAATCATTTCTTATTAATTATTATAATTCAGAATTATATAAAATTAAGAATTCTTATTATTAGGTGTTCTATTTCGAACATACCATTAACCAAAGTGTAGGGACTTTCTAATGGGTACCTCAACCTACCAAAGAAGCCACCAGGGGAAAAAAAAAGCACTTGCAAACAAAATTATCACTCCCATCTTAAATCAAAGAACATGCTAGTTTCTAATCCTTCAAACTCTCATGGCAAACTAATCCGAACAATAGTTGTCTTAGAGGAGCTCATTTAACTTGGGTATTATACAGTACAGTTGGTAATATTTGTATTGGTTTATTTCTTGAATGTATGTATGGTATGTATGCTATGCTAATACTGTACAAATATTGAAAAAAAAACCATACCATACATACATTGCTAACCGAACTGTACAAGTTTGCTGTACTTTGGCTCAAAGGGGTATATGAAAATATCATTGTCAAAGATAATCTAATCTCTTAATTCTTACCAACATTCATTTTATTGAAATTTAGGGATGGGCGTTAATTAACCTGGTTGATTAACCTGGTTAATTAACCAAAAATATATTATGGTTAGATTTTAATTAAACCTTGAATTTATCGTTTATTGATGTCATTTTTTTTATATATTTATTTCAATCATTAGATATAAAAAATAAAACCAATTTTCTTTCTAAAAAAAGATTTCACACATTAAAATATAAAATTTATCTTCGTTTTTCTCTAAAATAATAATTATAATTATAATAATAATAATAATAATAATAATAATAATAATAATAATAATAATAATTCCGTTATGAATGAAAATAAAGATATCAAAATAAGAGAAGCGGTTCAATTCTTATCAGAGGGCGATAAAGCGTTAGTAATTATTATCGCTTGTTTTTAGTTTCGTACTCGATTTTTAATTTTATTTCGGTTTTAACATTTTTAGAACCAAAAAGAGTTGGTTCAAGAAACCTGAATGGGACGTTGCCGGACAAAATTACGAAAAAGCTGGTATTCTATTTGACTAATTCATTCATTTAGTTGTATGTATCATAAGAATACTTGAATAATTTTTTATCATTTTCAATAGCTTCGTGTTTTAAGGCTGCTCGATCATTTGATCAAGCAATTCAAGCCTATCAAAAGGCTTCGGATGCCATGTTTAAATCGGATTCGTATGTATCTCGTATTATGTCTCTTCCCTTTGATAATAATAAAGTTTCTTATCGATCGATCGGCATCATTTATAGCTTATATATGGCCGCAAAATCAATGGAATCTGCTGCAAACCTAGCGGTTCAACAACTTAAACAACCTGAACGAGCAAGTGAAATGTACCGAAAAGCTAGTGACTTATATCAAGCTCATATGACTCCAGATCGAGCAGGTGAAATGTTGGAAAAAGCTGCAAGGTAAAAAAAATAATTCATTTTTTTCATTTTTCATTCATTTTTTTTTTTTTTCTTCTTTCCAATGAAAATTGGTGATGCATTAAAAATATCTGACATCTTTATTATTATTAATTTTTTTTTTTTTTTAAAAAAAAAAAGAACTATGGAGCCAATTTCGGTCGATAGTGCCATAGAATTCTATGTTGCTGCATGCAACTTATTTGAATCGGAAGATCGTGGAAGGTTCGCAATCGATACATTTAAGAGAACAATAGCGATTATGATTAAAAACAAGAGGTTAGCTGCTATTTAACTATATCAATCATTTACATTTTCAAGATTCTAACCAACCGAAATTAATCTATCAAGATACATAGAAGCAGTAGAAATAATGCATCGACTTTCAAAGATATATCAAAGCAATAATAATCAATCAGGATTGAATAAAAATTGTTTAGGCATTATCATAACGTTATTGGCGGCAGAAGATGAGGTTGAAGCGAAAAAACAATTTCAAACGTTTTGCCAGTAATTATTGGATCTATTTCTTTTATTTAGATTTTATCTCTACGAATCTCGGCTACTTATATAATATATATATAATTTTTTTTTTAATAGGCATGCCTTTGTCCGGTCAGAGGAATCAGCGATTTCAAGTTCGCTTTTGGATGCTTTTGAACAGGGTGATCAGGATCTTATCGACAAAGTCATGCGTAGTCCGATCGTTACATATTTGGACAATGAAATCGCTAAACTTTCTAGAGAACTGCAAGTTCCTGGAATTTCAAGTCGACCTTATATCCCTCAACAAGAGGATCAAGAGAATAAGAATATTTTTAATCATGAGCAGAGTGATTCTCATTTTTTGCATAATCAGGAGAAAAAATCGAGTCCTTATTCTTTAAATGATCATATGGGAAACGAGGATGAAAAGCAAAAAATTGACGGTGATAATGATGAAAAAAAGGTTACTGCACTTCCTGCTGAGGATCCAATACATCAACCTCCATCTGCTATTTCAGCACCTGTACATTCACAGGAAACAGCCGAAGAGGAAAATGAAGGTTTATGTTAATTTTAAAAATACAGACAAAGTTTTCTCAACTAAAGTGTACAACATTTATCCTAAGTTTTATAATAAATCGAAAATTAATTAATTAAGAGTACTATAATTATTAAATTATTTACAATCTATAATTTGGGGTGATTAAAATATTTAACATGCCAATAAATATTATGTAAAATGCTGATAAATAATTAAATATTCACACAACTCAACGCAGAATGTCTGATCAACACGCCATTACCAATTACCAAAATTCCTTCAGGAAAGATCACATTGTCGCGTTATAAAAGAAAAGTGACAAAATTTTCAGATTTCTTCCAGCACACTATTGGTGATCGATGTCAGGATCCTCCTGTTGCAATTTTTTCCGGTATTGTCAAGTTATTCCTTGCCTCCTTCTCTTTCTCTTTCTCTTCATACACATCACATTGTATTCCATTTTGCTCCAAGGATTGTTGAATTCTTTCCAAGGCAGCTTGATTTTGTTTTGATAATTTTATTAAAGTACTCATTTGTTCCAACAATGTATCCTGATTAGCTATTAATTCTTCGCTCATTGAAGAATATCCGCGAGGTACATGAGATACAAAAGAATGTGTACTTTCAAAACTTGCTCGTAAATCAGGACCTGAACATAATAATATATGATGGTTAAGCATGAAATTAATTATAATTAAATGAAGAAGATTATTTTTTTACCCAAAGTAAATCCTTCGTCCTCTTCAGTCCCATTTTGGTTATTGTTTACCTATATTGTAATTACTATTATTAGTTGATATCGCTTGAATTAGTTGGGATCACTGAACTTTCTTTGAAATATTTACCCGAGAATTGGCATTTGATCGACGATATTGACGCATTGCCTCCCATACTAATGTAAAATTTCTTCCAACGATAATTGATGGTAAGGCAATTAACTACATAATTTTTAACTAAATCTTAAATAATAGCTTCATTGACGGCTCACGATTTTTTTTTTTTCGAAAATAAGATTACTCACAAGAATCCCGCACATCATTGCGGGAAATGCTATCAATTTTCCTATAAATGTCGTGGGAACCATGTCACCATATCCTGTTGTAGTAATAGTAACCATAACAAACCAAAAAGCTGATGGAATACTATCAAAGGAACTAATAATCATAAAAGAATTTAAATATCACCATAATTTTACAATATTAAGAACGAGCACTTCAATTCATACCTAGGATATCCTTTACTATCAACAAATACTTTCTTTTCCTGATCCCAAGTTCCTTGTAAATTTTATATAAAGATTGTTTAGAATTAAAAGAAAATTCAGATCAATAGACCTATAACTAACGCCTATGAAATACTTACCACGTTCCGCAAAATATAATAAAGTTGAAAACAGTACAATACTTGTCACCATGAAGAAAAATAATGCTCCCAAAGCATCCATACTTCGTTTTACAGCAACTATCATCACTTCAATAGTCATGATAATCGTAGAAGAATATTTGAAGGCTTTGAAGACGCGAAGAAGGCGAAACAACCGAAGGATAGTAAATCGAAAATCATAGGTCTGATCGGAAATTAAATAAACTTTCATATATAAAAGTCGCAGATTATAATTTGTTCTAATAAATCTAATCACTTACTGTATCATGATGAAACATTAATTCGATATAATAAGGTGCAATGGCAATAAAGTCTATGACAGCGAGAGGAGCTAGTTTCAAATATGAAAAGTAAATATACGCATAATAACAAAAAAAAAAAAAAAAAAAATCAGTTAAATATCAGAGAAAAAAATATAATATTAATTTACCTTTTACGAATCGCCATAATTGGCGAAATGAATCGGAATGTGCAATTAAACGTAACCCGTACTCTAATGTGAAGAAAACTACTATAGTCGTTTCAAAGTTAAACCTAATTTTTATTATTTTTTTTTTAAAAAAAAAAAAATATTTGATATCAAATAAGTCACTTACTCCTTAGTTAAATTATAGAGTAGAAAAATAAAGACTTACCACACGGAACTCGATGTGGACCTAAATGAAGGTATTGTCTCAACAGTAGTTAGAACTGCACTAAGTACAATTGAGAAAGACACAAACACATTCACCAGAAAAGCGGCGTTACTCGAGGAAGGATCTTCCAGCAAAAGGAATAATTCTCTCTTCCAATCGGTTCGCATCGAATTTGCTTCTGTATTATTGGCAGCGTTTGAGTTGTAATTTTCTTCTGCAGTTCTAAGTTCTTGCGGAATTTCGGTAAAAGGCCACTCATCTTCCATATCTAAGTTTGGAAGGGAGCTCCTTCGGGGTGGAGGCAATTGCGCAAAATGAACAACGTGAGGAGGTGCATCGAAACTAATGGGACTAGTAGAGGCCGCCTGGTTTGGAGGCGAAAGAGTTTGTAAAGGCATAGCTGGCTGTGACGTGAGATTATGTTCGCTCTCTGTCGCAAGTCTCGTAAACTTTTGTTTTGTCATTTTACACGTTTGATATGAGTTTTTCAAAAAAAGTAAATTAGTGAAGAATCATTTCGTTTATATTCTCGATCACATAACTAATTTGTGTGACCATCCGAATTTGAAACCTAACTATTTGATGCATAACTGATGTTAATCAAAATGTGACCGAGTATATGCTAAGAAACTTAAATTTAATCACGGGATAAATCGTAACTTGATGTTATTATCGAGTACTTTTGTTTATTTGTATGGAGTTTTGATTCGGTATTAATGTTAAAAAAGATTTAAAATTACAACAATAAATATTAAAATTTAAAAATAAAAGAAAGTCATTAAAAGAAAGAATTTACTTATTTAGGGTAAAATTAGTTTGAAAAGAAAAAAAAATTTGATTAAATAGGGATAAAGGAATTCTATCGCCATTTTTTGCACCAAATCCCACTTCATAAAACAAAAATATTTTTTTAAAAAAGAAAAATCTATTGAAGTAACGTTATAGCAAAAGACCAATATCTTTTCTTAGTAAGAACCTTACATTATAAGGGGAAGGAGAATAAGAAGTCAAAGAAACGTTTCCATCATTTAAATTAATCTCTGAAATAGAGCCATCATTACTAACATCTGGTTTGATTTCGAAAGCCCAAAGTATACGAGCAAGAGCAAGGAATAATTGTTTTTGAGCCAAATGTTGACCGATACAATAACGTCTTCCGGCACCAAAACTCATATGCATAGGCATAGTATTATTAGTTAACGAAGGGCTATTGTTTTTCAATATACCAAATAATGACTTCCTTTTCTTTTCAATAGCAGAAGGATCATATTCAAATTGAGGTAATAAAATACTTTTAGTTTTAACTGAACCAGTTGAAGAATTTGACAAAAATCGAGAAGGACGGAATCTATCAGGAGCGATAAATCTTCTTTCATTATGATTGATGGCAAATAAATTTAATAATATAGGAGTTCCTTTTGGTATAAAATATCCATTATAATCATCATCTTCACTGGACAGATGAATCATACCAAAAGCATTTGGTGGTCTATATCTCAAGGTTTCATTGATGATAGCATTAATATATGGTAAATCAAGTTCATCTTCCATCGTAGGCATGTTTTTATCACATGCACTATCTATTTCTTTAAACGCTTCTTCTTGTACACCCGGATTATTGGCTAAACATGCCACGGTCCACATCAATGTATTCACTTCGGTTTCCATCGCACCATTGAGCAAACCGACCAACATTTGCCATACATCCTCAAATTCCATCGAATTTTTTCCTTTTTCATCGATTTCCTCCTGGATATGTGAAAGGAAACTTGGTGGAAGGGTCTTACCTTGCGTGTAGTCATTTAGGAAATCATCATATTTTGATGAAAATATGTTTTCCATTTGTTGATACACTTTTATTGCCTTCTCATTACTTGGTTTATATACGTACTTCAAGATGGGCTGGAGAGGAGGGAAAAAGAGAAAGATAATCAGTAATTCAGATTTTTTAGTTGCATCGTGTAAATTTAAAATGTCATCGCATAAAATTTACCATGAGATCGTTAAGGATGCTTGTGGGATAAGAGAATTCGGCGATACCATCCATGACCTTCATAACATCCTTTAAGAAAGGGTCATCATTCCCCTTTATTTGTGCGCCAAACAAAATATTTAACATGTTTGTTAAAATAAAACTTTTAATTATTTGTAAAGGATAAATGGGTTGACCATGTTTCTTCATTAAAGCTTTAATAAGTTGATCCGAATCTTTTAAGATGTAATTATAATAAGATTTAATGGGACGAGAAGTGAGAGCGCCATAGGCAATAGATCTATCTCTTTTCCATTGATTCCCATAAGGAGTGAAAGCGGTCGAATTGCTTTTAATCAATATCGTATTTAAATTGCTAAAGTTGTATTTTGAAGAATACTTTGAACCCCGTTTCACTATCAAATCATTCACCACTTCGTGATTATTTAATAATATAATATATTTTTGTCCTAATTTGATACTATAAATTGGTCCATATTTTATATTCCATTGATTTAGCTTTTCTAATGGTCGAACTTTTAATTGTAATAAATTCCCTACAATTGGGAACGTTGGAGGGTGTGGTAGTAAATTTTTTTTATTGGGAATGTATAGTTTATTATTTTGAAAGAGAAATTTTATCAAGAAGAAAATTCCCGTTTGTATTAGCAAGACTGTTGCGAAAGAAGAAAGCAAATCGGTTACTATCGACATTTTTCGTTTCCAGATTTCAAGGGGAATTAATCATTCGATAAAAAAGTAACCTGTTGCTTCTTCCTTTTTTTAATCAAATTTTATTTTTCTTTAACTCATTAGGTTTCTCACTTGGAATTGAGTTATCTTTATATATTACAAAACTGTTGTTTTCATGTGCAATTGAATCAACCATTTTTGAAATTTCATACTAACATCGATGAAAAAATCCCGAAGAAAATCTACTGCGGACTTTATCATGAAAATTTTCACGTGCGTGGTTCATCTCCGATCAACATCAATCTTAACGAGAATCATTAAAATTTCCAATTCCAATTCATTTAAAT